TTATTATATGTTTGCATATATGTCCTGTGTATTACAGGTCAAAAACAACAAAAAATTTTAGAACAATGTACATTAATAAAAATGTACGTAAGAAGTATTGATAGCCGATTGAAACGTATAGAGGATGGAAGAGTAAAAAATAATAATAATGTCTACGAAGAAATGCAAATAATACAAAACATTTCCTTTAAAGACAACTGATGAAATTACTCATTTTGATCAGAACTTAGATGATAAAAACGTTACAAACACATTTGTATGTTCTTTGAATAATGTTTATTGTAATTGCTAATATTTTCGTGTTATAACAACTAATACCACTTTCAGATGATGTATGTCAAACGTATTGGTGGTACCAATGGAACGGACAATGTAAAAGCAATTTTAAAAAGGATTTTTACCAACAAACTTGGTACACAATGCAGTTGGTTGGGTCAACGAAATAATTTTAAAATATGTGATCTCTCACTAATAACAGTAATTAAAGGTATGTACTTACTTTTGTTTATTTATTATTAAATTTATTATATATATATTATTATTTATCTTTATACTTATATAAATATTTTCAGATGTAGTATTGTCAGTACATGGAAATTTTCAAGAAATGTCTTTTAATAAGGCTGTGAGTGAATGGTTCCGACTAAGCAAATTACGATATCAAAGAGAACAAAAACATGGACATCATCTAGAAGCAAATGCAGATAATGTTTCTAAAGAAAATATAGACAATCCTCCTGAAGCAAATGCCGACAATCCTATTGAAGGAAATTAAAATAAACTCTGTATTATATATTCATGTGTGCATGCATATATGTATATATAATAACGTATTTGTACTTTAGTATTCTTTATTACAAACAACATTGTAACGGTTTGATTTTGAACCAACAGTCTGATATTTCAATATTTTAATAACTGCATCAATTTTTTTCTTTTTTAATACATTACAATATTACTTTAAGATTAAAATATTACAAACATGAAATTGTTCTTTAGTTTAACTTTCTTATACTTAAAATTGTCATTATCCTTTTTATTTTTTATTAGAAAACGAGAAGATATAAATATTATGTTTACGGATATGTTAAAGATATAATTACATTTCTGTTATATTAGAAATCCCATGACAGTAACAAGATACACATGTTTAGTTAATTATGGAATTTTAATAATGTTTTGTTTAAGCACAACATAGAAGCAAGCGTGCAATATTGTATTTTAACTGTATGTTTTCGAAATATATATATATATGTACACATATAATGTAAAAAAAACTTAAACCTGTGAAATACTTATTAGAGTCCTTTTTATTTGCAACAAATATAGTACATTAAATAACATACACATTTTAATGCAGTAACAAGTAACATATATGTTAGCCTAATCAAGTTTATAGCATCCAGAGAAAGTCGATCTAATGAAAAATGTTTCATAACTTTTAAATTAAAAACTTATTAAACATTTCGATATTGGATTGATCTTCTCTGCGCGCTATATGTTTCATCAGGCTAACATAAACATATGTTACTTGTTACTCCATTAAAATGTATGTCCCAATATATATCAAATATTAGTAACATAATATTGATGTTAAAATGTCCGCTCAATGAGATACCTGTTATATAACTGTTATCTGCTTGAATTGATATTTTAATATCGATGTTATGTAACTAATACTTGATGTTTACGGCGATATTTCCGAATGTACTATGTATTTGATATGTAAATATAATGTAGTTATGTTGGCTATGTTACATACCATAAATAGAACATTTAGAGCATTTGTAACGTATCTTAAATAGATCATAGAAGTACTTTTGTTGCTGACATTTCGTAGTACATGTAATCTACATGTATGTTACTTGCTACATAACTGGTCACTTCGTGATCTTTACTGTTACGTATTTAAAACATATATGTTATATTATTGTGTTTGCTGGGTGTTAATATGTTAATAAATACAATTTATATTTAAATGTAAAAAAAATGTATTTTTATTGAAGTAATTATAACATTATGCAGTTATATTATGATATATCTTATTAACATTACTTATTTTACATACCTTAATAACATTATGCATTATTACCTTAATGCAAATAAAAACGATATTTTTATGAAAATAGAATTAATATAGTGATAGTATAGTTCTTTAACAGAATCTCAGTACTTTAACAAAACATTTATAATTGGACGTATTGATTGGCCATTTAATAGAGAAATTTCGGAATCTATCAAAATTATATGGCCAATTGTCCGACCAACTTGTACAACAAACGTAATATCACTTTAACATCACAGAATTTTTCAGGCACTATTATCTCTAATATAATTAAACCCATATCAGACTATGGATTAAGATTGAAAATCGATTAAAATTTGACGAATCACAGTAAAATTCATTAAACTTAAAAATAAAAAAATAAAATTTCAATTCAATCTCAATCCTAATCCATAGTCTGACATGGACTTTAGATTCACACAGTCACACACATACTTACATCCATTTCTACCAATGTAGATTAACTTTAATCTTGGTATAACTTATCCTTAAAATATCCTTAATATCCTTTACTTATCCTAAAAATTTTACTCGATGTACTATAATCATTAAAATAAAATTTTCCTCGGAAAGAATGTTTTGGAATGCAAACGATGGTGATAAACATAAACTCAAAGCTATTTTTCTAGGTATGAAAAAAAAATAATCAAGTTGCGGAATATGAAATTATGAATTAAAGCAACTTTATCTAAACTCTGATGACAATTAATGATTAATTTGAAATACTCGAAGCAAAAATATACGAATACGAATTGTATAACTTGAAATACGAATTGTATAACTTGTGCTTTTCTTTTGCATAAAAAATCGGACATTTAAGCTTATTCTACAATATATCGTATGTCACTATCGGAACGCAGACGATGGTCCGATAAGAGAATTTATTTTTCAAAAACGAATTCTCTTATTGGTTCATTGCCTGCGTTTCGACATCCAACAGCAACATACGACGGTATTGTAGAACGGGCCTTAAAGTTTATCAAGAAGTTTGGTCATAAAGTTTTCATAAAGTGTAATGGCTCTTTCCTTTTTCTCCATATTTTCCTTATGTCGTTTCTCTCGCGCTTTTTCTCGTTGCTGTGCTTCTGCTCGTTTTTCTGATGACAAAATCTCCAGTTGACGTTCCATTCTTGT